GAAGAGGGGTTTAGATTTATTAGGAACTGGGGACACTTTTGGGAGAGGGGGAGCCTATACAGGAAGGATGGGCTCCACCTAAACCAGGGTGGAACCAGACTGCTGGCACTAAACATTAAAAAGGCCGTAGAGCAGTTTTTAAACAAAGAGATGGGGAAAAGCTGATTGGTGCGGAGATGCACGTAAATCGGAGGGAGACTTCTCTTAGAGGAGAATCCATTGATAGAGATTCTCTAAGCTGTAGTCAGAAAGAGAGGAGGGGAGAGGGCAAACCATGGGCCAGAGCAGACAAACAACCGCATACAAAGGAATCCAGTTCTATGATTCTAACTAATGGGGGTGGAGGGGAAAACTCCACAAATCATCAATAAGTCCTCGGCTCGGTATTTAAGAATCACCATTGATGGGGAAACCCAGTTATTGCACGAAATGGCATTAATAATGTGGCTGGCAGGAGACTTTCTCCTGAGACAATACTGAGCCAATGCCCCAACAAGACAGTAGCGGGAGCCAGGCTGCTGGGGTGCACTTGTATTCATTAAAAATCTGATGGTCAATATTTCCATTAAGCCTTATCTTATGCCCAGTCAAATTTTAACCAAGGTAATTGTATTCTACCTATATGCATTCCACTGCACTTCCAATGAGATGTGTTCATTCTCATTCCCAGTTCTAAATACATGTGCAATGCTGCTATTTGCAACAAAACTGTGGCCATGTTCTAGATTAGCATTCACTGCATTTTAGTAGAGGGTGAAGTGATCAGTTTAGGTCATAAGGCAACTTTTACAAGTGAATTCAGAGGCATGATTAATTCATGTTTGAAAAGAACGTGGAGATCTTTAGGTGATAGACACTATAAAAATTCAAAGTATCAGAAGGGATGTTAGTCACCCATTTGAAACTGGTGGATGTTTAATATTGAGGACTCAGAAAAGGTAAGATTAAATTAATATGGATGATAATGTACCGCACACAAAATGCAGAGTTATTTGGTTAAAAATGTTTGCACTTAATCAGCCAGTTGTGAGTGCAATTATGTGCCACGCACAATTCCTGCAACTGTGAATGCAAAGTGGGCACGAAGATGCGTGTTCAATTTTAAATGTGGGCTGCCAAAATTTCTCAACCTTATTCTGACCTTATGTCAACCAGGAACATCCTCCTCCTAATAAGAATTTGAATTCAGTTCAAGTTACTACTGTGTAAGGTGGATCAGAATCAGGCCCTCAGTCTTTTCAAGGCTTTCACAAGAAAAATGTGAAAATGCTGCTTCTGATGTAGAGAGAAACCTCACAGTGAATTAGGCATGTAATTCCCCATTTAACAATTAGTCAGTCTGTGCATAGAATCAGAGTAATTGCATATACCCTACTTCGCATGAGGTTTTATACTTCAGGTGGAAGATGACACCCCAAGGGCTCAATTCTGATCCCCTGAAGCCCATTGGAGTAGAATCAGCACCAGTATATTTGCTGAAAGAAACAGCTTCCTTTCTTCTGTTTGCAATGGCACCATTTCTCAAGACAAACAAGACCCTATGTACCATAAGTTGTATATTAAAAAGCTGCTTCATCATTTTCTGTGACACTGCCTCAAAGCTATCCAGAGCAATGCACTGAGAGGGCAAACCCTTCCTCTTTAGCCCTGCTTGCCATGTATGTGTTCCCAGCTTGTTTGCCAGTCTTCATCTTCATCAACTGCTTCATTGCAATTTTCAGTTGAATGGAACATGATGCTGAAAACAAAGAGTGAAAAATAAATTGCGTGTTTAAAAGAAACCTGGCAACTTACACAAATGAGTGTCATTTTCAAAAGTTTCCTAAACAACAATGAGCATGACAGGCACATCTCTGGCAAGAAACCCAATTTGTCAGTGTAGCACTTCTACACAATTCTAATGCTTATATTGTCGAGGGGAGACTCGGCCTTCCCTCTTCGTTTCTTGTTATGCTGATTCATTGCTCTTATTTTGGAATCTCATAATTTAGAGACTGACACTTGTGTGCAAAAGTAAAA